CCTGGAGGGGCAGTGCCAGAAGCAGCCGCTGCGGCGGCTGCGGTGCTCGGCCCTGCTGCGCCGCTCGACGCACCTGGAAAGGTGGGGGCAGACGCAAAGCAGACAGGATGGCCGCCCGACTCGTCCATCACGGAGTCTGCCACGCGGGACTTCGGCTTTGGACTCAGCGCCAGCGCCGCGATGGCTTACGTCATGTTCAAGCGTCGGTGGTTTGCATCAGTCAATTTCGTGAACACATCGACGTTGGCATGTTCGAATTGTGCTCCACCAGGAGCTCGCCAGAACACGCGCGCAACTCATGGGCGAACGCGACGCGCGAGCAAACGGCCCCAGAACAGCCAGAGTTGTTCTTCAACCAGAGTTGCTTTTGAGACCAAATCACGGCGGAGAATGGCGGCCGGGCGATTTTCCGCGTGCGTGCGCGCTCAGGGCGGATTATTTTTGCACTTTAAGAGGTTCGACGACGTGTGGCACTGTTCCGATGGTTCGGAGCAGTGGACAGGTAAAGTTTGAGGGGTCAGGCCCCCCTTCTCCGCGCGCTGTTTTCAGGAGCTGGTAGGCGCCGCGTTCCGCGAAGTTGTTGCCGGCTGTGCTTTTCTCAGGGCCAGTCCCGTGGAAGGCATCGTTATTGGTCCTGCGCCTCGTTTTGCATGGCACCGTTCGCAGCGCAGGCTTCCAATATATCAGAATGCGTTCAAAATTTCAATGCGCGAACCATAATACGATTGGCGCTTCCAAGCAAGAAAGGAGTGCGTTGCGCGAGCGCGCGGTCAATTTTTTGATTGGGCATCATTTTTCTTTGCTCGGTTGTTTCGTGCGTGCATTTGTCCCGCGTGCGCCTTGCTTCGCCGCCCTGGTGTTGCGTTGCTTCCAGGTAAGTGTGCAGCTCCTGTCTCTTTTGTTTGTGCGCCCAGCCCGGCGCCTGGGTCTTGCCGGGCGGCCGCGTGTCCTCGGTGCTCCCGTGTGGTGAGAGTCATTTGCTGTCGTGAGGTAGAAGAACACAGTGATGCGGTTGTGGTTTTGCTCTCCCGCCGCTTTTCGGACCTCTCCCCCCTCCTCCCCTCGGACCGCCGGTGGCCCCTTCCAGGCCTTCTGCTATTAGATTCTTGCGAAGCTAGAGCGGTTTATCAGTTTGACTTTCGGTGATTCGAGGCAGGCGTGAGCCGCGCTAGATCGCGGGGGCCAAGGCGCCCCTGTCCACTGAGGTGAGGGGCGCTGTTTACGCAAGTGCCATCCCTGAAGAAGCGGGGAGGCGCAGAGCGAAATGGGGGCGCGGCTGCCCCGTCGCCCCGTGCCCGTTTTGTCTTCGGACACCGACCAATTTTGGGTCGCGCCGTGCATTTCTCAGCGGCTGTTCTGTCGCTCGTGCGTAGCTTAAGCAATGAGGGTGGCGATGAAAAAAGGCAGGGCAGCGGAAGCTGGCAGAAGTGCTTGCAACGAGGCTGCCTCCGGCGGCGGAAAGCGATGGACTGGCGGCGTAAGCTGGCGGAATTACAAGATGCGCCCGCAAGAGATGGCAACGTTTTTTGGGGTCATCGTTTCCAGAATCGGCGAAATTGGGGGCTGCGTCTATGGTGCGCCTTTTGGGCTCCAGGGGGGCCCCTTCTCTTTTGGGGCTCCCAATGCGTGAGATTCTTCGCCCCTTCGCTGATTGCCCGCCCACGAAGCAACGTCCAGCGAACCGTTGCTTGACGGTCTCGGGGGCGAGGGCCCCGGGAGCCGAAGCAGCCAAACGTGCGCATATGCTTCGTTCGCATCGCGAAAACAGTGGGATCTGGCGCGTCAAGAAAACATACAGTATCGCGAACAATCGCGGCCTGAGCCATAGATCCGTGCTTCCGACAACATTTTTTTAGCCAGATCGATTTGTGATGGTCCGAAGGCCGAAACCTGGCGAAAACGCCCGGTGCGAAAAAGTCGCGACGCGTGGATCTGAGGAGAGGTGGGCGTCAGAGCTTCTTAGGCTCCCCGAGTATCCAATTTTTTGATTTATTCAATGCGGGCCGGCCATAATTACCGACCTTCTCCCCAGGGGTGTGTTCTCATCTCGGGCCGTTTTCTGGCGGTCTTGAGGCCCGCCGAGAGTGCCCATTGGTCGAAAACGACATTTTTTTTTGTTTTCCTTCCCCCCCCGACGCGATATTGTTACCATCCTCAAGGGCCTACTGATTTCGGGCCATGTTCTAATTTGGGCCTTTGGCGGCCGTCGGGCACATTCCAGGTTCTAGGCAGCACGAAGGGGTATTCTCGAGGAGGCGCAACCGCTGAGAAGCATCCCGGGTTCAGAAAACATGCGGGGCCATCGGAAATTTCGGATCTCCGTGCTGGTTTTTTTCCATGACGCGAGGCAGGCTGTGTTTTTTGCCGTCGCACGGGACCCCTCCGTTGTGATTTTTGCCAGTCCGCCAGCGCGGCCGCCCGGACGGGTGCGGGCGCGCGAGGTGCATGAACATTTTGTGCATGCGTGTCACATGCATACAAGATGTGTCCATGCAGATGCACATAAAAAGGTCGAGGCTTTTCAGTACATGGGCAGCATGTGTAAACACAAATTTTGACTCTTCAGATGGTGCTGCCATGCCGTCAAGCGTCTGGGAACAGCGCGGCACGAACATGCCGTCGCCCTCGCCAGTTCCCTCCCGCTGCTCATGTGTCACATGATCCGAGGATCGAAGTGGGGCTCATATCTCTTCCTGGGCGGAAGGCGGCAGAGGTAAAAAAACCCTTTCCGCCGGCGGAAGTCAGTGGAAACTCGGCGGAAGCCGGTGGGGGTAAAAATCCGTTTTAGAAGAGATGTCAAGGATTTTGTTTGTTCAGAGAATCTTGGGCCCGCCACATGATGGCGCACTCTCACGTGCCCGCGCGCGCCTCCACGCGTGCTGCAAGGAACCGCTCGGTTGTGAGCCGTCCAAGCGGCCCCCAGCGCGAACGGAAACCCAAAGCCCAGCGAACAAGCAAGTTCGGGAAAAATCTTTCTGCGACGATCGTAGACCATCCTGGAAGTGAGCGTCGGGGACCAACAATGGCAAAAACATGAGCTTTCGGAAATCCGCGCGGATTGCTTGGATGGGCGCGCCAAGGGCGGCCTTGCAGGAACCGCCGAGGGGGCCCAGCGCCGATCCCAAAAATTCGTGCGAACTTACGAAAGTAAAGTTTATGTTTGTATACGTAATTTCTCTCCGAAAAGTGTGTTCGTCACATTTTTTTTTTTTTTTTTTTTTTTTTTTTTTTTTTTTTTTTTTTTTTTTTTTTTTTTTTTTTTTTTTTTTTGTTTTTTTTGTTTGTTTTTCTCTCTCTCTCTCTCTCTCTCTCTCTCTCTTTCTCTCCCTATATATATATACAAGTGGCACGTGTGTGCCCAGGCTCATACAACAAGCTGAAGGGGCGTTTGAAGCAGGAGTGACATGCAACAGCGAAGTCGCACTCGAGCGCAAGTGGGGTTGCCACACCTTGCGATGTGTGTACCAGGGCCCCCCAGGAAGCCTCAGGAGGCCCGACTTGGATACCAGAAGAGGCTCCAGGAGGCCCCAGGATTGTGAGTGTTGTGTGTGTGATGTGTGCTTTGTGTGGTGCGTGCTTTTTGTGTGTTGTCGGTGTTGTGTGTGTATGTTATGTTTGTCTAGCGTGTGATGTGTTGGGCGTGATTTGTGTCTCTGTGTGTGCATGTAGTTCTGAAGCCCCAGGAGGCCCCAGGAGGCCCCAGGCGGCCTCAGCAGGCCCAGGAGAACTCCAGGAGGCTCCGAGGCGGGGTCTGGGGTACCAGAAGGTCCAGAAAGCCCCAGGAGGCCCCAGGAGGTTCCAGGAGGCCCCCAGGAGGCTCCGAGGAGGGGTCTGGGGCTCGATTTTGGGAGGATGTCTCAGGCGAAACCGCCATTCTCTGAGAATCGGGGTCAAAATTATTGAAATTACCATGTGTTTTTGAAGGTTTTATGTTAAAATGTTGAAATTCCTATGTGTTTTTGGACCTCTCCTTCACGATCTGCGTGAGGGGTGCCACCGATTTTCAGAATTTTGAGGATGTCCCTAGCGAAACGGCCGGGAAAATCGAAGAAACGCACGCACACGACGCACGCCGCCCTGAGCTGGTCTCTGAGGTATATAATAATATATATATATATATATATATATATATATATATATATATATATATGCGGTGAGCGAGGGGGGGAGGTGCGAACGAGGAGGACTTCTCAGGGGGCGGCGGGGCTTCTCAGAAACCCTCCTGCCTTCTGAGCAGTTTTGTTGTTTTTGTTTTGGGGAAGGATCAGGGAACTTTTTCCGAAGTGCGGAGGCCTTCCGAGCCTTCGGAGGAGGCCCCTCTCATTTCCTCCCGGGCGCGCCGCCGAATCCAATCTCATCGTTGGAGGTCTGGCTCGGCAGCGCCGCGAGCGCGCGAGGCGCGACGCTGGAGGCGCTGTCAGGGCTCTTGGCTTCCGCTGGCTTCCGTTGGCGCTGGGGGCCGCTCGGACGGCCCACGGCCCAGCGGCGCCTGCCAGCACGCGCGGAGGCGCGCGCGGTCTTTCGGGGGTGCGCCATCGTGTGCCACGTGAGCAGTGGGGGGAAACTGGCGAGAGCGTCTGCCCCCCCCCCTCTCGCGTCACGCGGCTTCTTAGCCAATCCGATATGGTCTCGGGTATCACCAGGACCCCGGTTATGGTGGGCCTGTCAGTAGTGGTACCCCGAACTCCAAGACGAGGATTTTCATCACTGAGCCAGGGCTGGCGTAGCTGGTGCTGTCCGGGTGACAGCAGTTCTGGTCAGGGGAGGCCCATACCAAAAAGTACGCCGCTCGCCTCCAGGATGCCCTGGGTTTCTTGGGTTTCGATGGTTTTGCGATGGAAAGCGTGACGTTCCCACACCCAAAGCCAATGGCCGTCCTGGGACCTCAGGGCTGGGTTTCTGGTGGAAGGTTTCTTGTGGACTGGCCTCCGCTGTACACGTCCCTACACCGGGTCCCACTGAAGCCCGTCCTGCGAGCGCCCGAGGATCGTCGGGCGTCTGGCTCAGCAGCGCCGCGCGCGACTCCCGCGATAGCCAGAGGCCGAGCACCTGGGCCGCGTGCTGGGCCACGCATGGCGGATCCTCGGCGCGCCTCGTTCAGCCCCAAGGTGGAGTTTATCTGCTTCGACGCGGCGGACCTGGGCAACGTTAGGGGGGGGCCTCCCAGAACCCCTCGGTCACGTTCTGAAAAATCACGACGGGAGGTGTTTTCGCTATTTTCGGCCTCTGGGGGCCCTTGTTGGGTTGGGCCCTCGAGAAACGACTCAGGATGAAGAACCGGTCCCGGGGAAGGGGTCCAAACCTCTGGGGGTCGACGTTGCGAGCAAATCACGACACCGGTGGTCTGGGTTAGGCAGGGATCATTTCGACTCCTCCCACTCGATTCGATTCGGTTTCGATCGATTCCGATTCGATTCGGCTTCGGGATTCCGATTCGGGTTCCGTTTTCTCAATGGAGGCCTCACTGGCCTGCCGATTCCCGCCGACTCGACTTCTCCCGAATTGGCTGCCGATCTCCGCCGACTCGGTTCACTTCTATCGCCGATCCCACTTATTGATTCGGTTCTGGGCTCTCCTGGCTTAGGCACGGTTCGAGGTTCTCGAGCGTTGTCGTAGGCTCTTGGCGGTTACCCAGCCGCGGGATGCTCTCCCGCAAGGCAGCTGCGCCTCGGGTAGCGTCAGAGGCCCGGCCCTCGACCTGCACCTTCCGCACCCTCCGCGCGGCAGGTGCTGCCGCGGAGGGACCTGCCGCGCGGAAGGGTTGGAAGGTGCATGTCGAGGGATATGATTATCAATCCATACATATATATATATATGCGTGTATATGTATACATGTGTGTCTACATATATGTATAGATGTATATGTGTGTATTTGTATGGGTATACGTATGTATGTATACGTATGTGTATATATATGTACTTGTATACATATTCGTGTAAATATGTTTGTGTATATTTGTATATCGGTATACCTGTAAAATTGTATAAATGTATATGTGTACATGCATGTAGTTGTAGTTGTTTGTGTATCTGTTCATATTTACACATGTATATGTCTACATGTAAAAAGTGTATGTACGTGTACATGCATATGTATATGTTTATCTACAATGAGCTGTATATATATATATATATCTATATATACACGTATATATCTATGTCTATGTATATGTATATGTATATGTATATGTATATTTATATGTTTGTTTAGTTGTATATGTTTATGTCTATGTCTATGTGCATATATATGTTTATGTATATGGATATGCATATGTTTGTGAACATGTTTGAATATATGTAAATACATATGTATATATATGTGCATATGTATATGTATATGTACATGTATATGTATATGCATATACATATGTATATGTATAATGTACGTATATGTATATGTGTGTATATATATGTACATGTACACGATTGTGTTTATGTATGTCTATATGTATATACATACGTATATATATGTATACGTATAAGCATATGTATATGTATATGCTATGTAGAAGGATATGTATATGTACATGTATATGTACATATATATGTACACGCATAGGTGTATATCTATGTGCACATGCATATGTATATGTGCATGTCTGCGTATGTGTGTAGATATATGTATGTGGGTATGCATATGTGCGTGTACGTTTATTGGTTCGTATGTATGTGTGTATGTATGTAGGTGTATGCATATATATATATGTATATATATATGTATGTATATATAAATACATATGTATCACCCTCTTGGCCATCACGCGTGTTATCCCCCCTTCCCCTCCCCATAACGTAACGCTCCCCCCCTCAGTGCGTCCCCGGCACTGCCGCAGTATGGGGGGGGCGCCACGTTATGCCCCCTCCCGCCCCCCACCTCTTCTCCCCCCCCGTAACTCCCGTCACGGCCGCGAATAAAGAAATGCGCTCGAGGCAGGGGCAACGTTCGGAATGTTGCCCCTGCCTCTGGGGCAACGTCTGCAAGGGCTTTTTCGATTCCCAGACCCCCTCGAATGAGAGGTTTTTCGCTCCCAGTTTCCATGAGCCTCAGCGAGCCTCGGGAGCGTCGAACGACAATTTTGGCTGAAAAGCCAGTCCCAGGGAACGGATCCAGACCTCTGGGGGTCCACGTCTTGAACAAACTACGACGTCGGGGTCTGGGTTAGGGGGTCTCCGGCGGTGTTCCAGCCTCGGGACGCATTCTTGCAGCTGCGCATCGCCGAGGGCGTTCTTGTGGTGCCCGGACTACCCCGAGCGGCCGCCAGGAAGTGGAGTTATGGCCCGAGAGCCAGACGGCGAGGGTCACTGGGGGTGGGGTCGGCTCGGGGGGCATGCATCGACCCCCCCTCGGCCATTGATCGCCGATAATGGCCCGATTGCCCACCCCACTCGCTATCGGTGGCCTATGGCCGACCTCTCGTCGATGTATCGCCGACTTGAGGTCGATGTCCTGAGCCAGTCCCCCCTTCTCGTTGCCCCTCAGGAGAGCGGGACTCGCAGCACGGGCAGCTTTCAGTACGTGGAGATGGCAGGTCCGCCTCCTCTCTCCTTCCTCCCCTGACTTCGAATCCGCCGTACTTTGGACAAGTTCGTAAGGTGGGGCGGGAATTTCCGCCTTACTCATGAAGTTCATGTGATGCCGATTTCCGCCCTACTTTGCCGTCACTGTTTCCAGCATGCCTTTTCTCTGTCCTACCTTTTCTGATGCGACAAGTTCCGCCCCATGTTGTTTTCGCATCGTCTGGGGTGCATGTCCGACACATCTGCGTGTCGGGAAATCAGCCGAACTACGGCGTGTCCGAAGTCAGGCTCCTCTTCTCGGCGGCGAGCGAGGGAGGAAGTGAGAAGGGGCCGGCCTTCTCAGAAGTCTCGGAAGTCCCCTGGCCTTCTGAGAAGTCTTCCAAGATCTTCCCCGAGGACGGACAAAAAAACCTACCAGAAGGCGCGAGGGCTTCTGAGAAGTCCCGCCGCCTTCTGAGAAGCCCTTCTCCGTCTCGCTGCCCCCGTCGCTCGCCCTCCGTCGCCGCCGCCAATCCTCCTCCGATACTCGAGATCCTCCTCCTCGGGTCTCGGAGCTGATGGCACTGGGCCCGATGGTCGGAGCTGCCACGTCCCCCACGTCCCCTCCCCCCAGGGGGCCGTCGCCCCTGGGGGGAGGGGTCTACTTCATCACGCCACCTGCAACGTTAACGAGCGCAGCAAAGCACACGGGACAAGAGGAAGGTTTTCCTCCTCCGCCTTCTCCTCCTCCTCCTCCCCCTCTCCCTCCTCCTCCTCCTCCTCCTCCTCCCTCCTCCTCCTCCTCCTCCTCCTCTCCTCCTCCTCCTCCTCCTCCTCCCCCTCCTCCTCCTCCTCCTCCTCCTCCTCCTCCTCCTCCTCCTCCTCCTCCTCCTCCTCCTCCTCCTCCCTCCTCCTCCACCTCCTCCTCCTCCTCCTCCTCCTCCTCCTCCTCCTCCTCCTCCCCCTACATTCACAGCCGGCATTCAGGATGGGCCCTTCCAGCAAGTGCACCTTACATCTTTCGGCTCTTGGGTCCCTTGCAGTCTGATTGCTTGGAATGTCGGCGATGTGTTGAAATCGGGTTTCAAGGGTCTTGCATCCTCATGCACCATTCTTAGCTCTGGGTTTCACTGCACTTCTCCTCTATCCCCCCTCTTCCTCCTCGCTCCTCCTCCTCCTCCTCCTCCTCCTCCTCCTCCGCCTCCTCCCTCCCCCTCCCCCATCCCTCCTTCATCATTCCCCTCCCTCCTCCCTTCGCCTCCTCCCTTCCTCCTCCCTCGCTCGCTCGCTCGCTCGCTCCCTAAAGGCTTGAGGTCGTGGCCTACATTGTAGGATGGGGTGAGAAATAGGGGGACTGGGAAAGAGTCCTCGCTCTTGCCCTTACCCCTCCTCCCTCCTCCGCCTCCTCCTCCTCCTCCTCCTCTTACTTCTCCTCCTCCTCCTCCTCTTCCATTCTTTTCCTCCCTGTCGCACCCCGAAGCATCGGAAGGGCGGGCTGGGCGTTTCGCCTGAGACTTCCTCACCATTTATGATCCTGAAGCTTAGAAGTTGATGACAGCTTCACAGACGGAGGGCGGTCCGTCTTTAAAATGTGATTTCCGCCCCAGCGGCGCGAACACTCGTTCTTAAAAATCTAAGAGTTTCTCAGATAGAGGGCGACCCGTTTTCAAAATGTGGCTCTCGCCTTAGCGCACACTCGCCTCCAACTTTTGCAATCGTTTCACGGAGGGAGGGCGGTTCTTTTTCAACATGTGGTTCTCGCCTTAGCGACCGATGCGCACATTCGTTCTCAAGATTTGCAACAGTTTCGATAATTCGCATGGTTAACGTCCCAGAACTGGTGTCTTGGAGAACTATAGGGCTGGCAGGGCGTAACAGTTACGTTCGTTCGTAGTGTTGAAGTACAAGGATTGGAGTTCTCGCAAGGTTCAGGATCGTCAATCGTGGCGTTGAAGTCCCGATAATGGTGTTCTGTCTGGCACGGTGCAGGATTTCCACACGGTTGTCTTTCAACAGGGCACTTCCTTCAGTGGAAATGAAGAGGGAGCTTGAAGGGAGGGTGCTTGTAACATCGTTGATGAGGCTTGGGTTTACTCTTGTTCTCCTCCTCCTCCTCCTCCTCCCTCCTCCCTCCTCCCCGTGACATCCGCCGATACTCTGTCTCAAGCCATGGCCCCAGATGACCCGACCCCAGGGGTAGTTCTTCGTCCCAGATCCGTTTTTGATGGCCCTTGGGCCTGATTCCCGGCCTTAGAGGTCCAATTCGAAGGAACACGCCAAGATTGAAACATTTGTCTTGCGACGTACCCGACCTTTTCTAAACATTGGGCGGCTATACCAAGAACCGCTCAATACCAACGAACGCAATGAAGGACCCGCACTTCGCAGCCACCCAGGAAGCCGCGAGGTCTCGGCTGGATGTGCATACTCTCCCACTCTTTTGGGCCTCCCAGGAGCCCACGAAAGTGGCGACGGATGCGCAGTTCGCAAACCCCTTGGAAATCGCGAGGACTCGGCTAGATCTGCATACTCTCCCATTCCGCTGGGCCTCCCAGGTGCCTACGAAAGTGTCGGGAGCCGCGCAGCTCGAAGCCCCCCAGGAAGCGGCGAGGTCTCGGCTGGATTTGCGTGCTCCCTTACTCCGCTGGGCCTCCCTGGAGCCCAAGAAAGTGACGACGGTTGCGCAGTTCGCAACCACCCCCCAGGTCGCCGCGAGGACCTGCGCACTTCTGCATTCTGGTAGGCCTCCCATGAGCCCACGAACGTGGCGTCAGTTGCGCCGCTCGCAGCCCTCCAGGGAGCCAGCCACCCAGGGAGCCGCGAGGTCTCGGCTGGATCAGGGTACTCCTCCACTCCGGTGGGCTTCACCTGAGCCCACGAAAATCGCAACAGTTGGGCGGTTCGCAACCACCCAGGGGGCCGCGAGGTCTCGGCTGGATTTGCGTACTTCCCCAGGAGCCCGCGCAAGCGGTGACAGTTGCTCAGTTCGCAGCCCCCCAGGCAGCCGCGAGGTCTCGGCTGGATCTGCGCACTCTCCCACTCCGCTGGGCCTCCTAGGAGGCCACGGAGGCGGCGACAGTCGCGCAGCTCCCAACTCCGCAAGAAGCCGCGAGGTCTCGTCTGGACCTGCGTGCTCCCCCATTCCGCTTGGCCTCCCAGCAGCCCACGAACGTGACGAGAGTCGCTCAGTTCGCAGCCACCCAGGGAGCCGCGAGGTCTCGGCTGGATCTGCGTACTCCCTCTCCCAGGAACCCACGGAACTGGCGACATTTGCGCAGTTCGCGGCCCCCCCCAGGGAGCTGCGAGGTCTCGGCTGGATCTGCGTACTCCCCACCTCCTGGGCCTCCCAGGAGTTCACGGAAGCGCAGCGCGCAGCCCCCGAGAGCCGCGAGGACTCGGCTGGTCTTGCGTACTCCCCCATTCCGTTGGGCCTCCCAGGAGCCCACGGAAGCGGCGACAGTCTCGCAGCTCGCAGCCCCCCTGGAGGCCGCGAGGTCTCGGATGGATCTGCGTGCTCTCCCACTCCGCTGGGCCCCCAAGGAGCTCAGGGAAGCGGCAACAGTTGCGTATTTCGCATCCCCTCAGGGAGCCGCGAGGTCTCGGCTGGACCTGCGTACCCCCCCACTTCGCTAGGCCGCCCTAGGAGCCAACGAAAGTGGTACATACCCCAGGGAGCCGCGAGGTCTCGGCTGGATCTGCGTACTCCCCCTCTCCGCTGGGCCTTCCACGAGCCAGCGGCAACAGTTGGGCAGTTCGCAGCCCCCCCGAGGAGCCGCGAGGTCTCGGCTGACTTGCGTACTCCCGATCTCCGCTGGGCCTCCCGGGAGCCCACGAAAGTGGCGACAGTTGCGCAGCTCGCAGCCCCCCCAGGGAGCTTCGAGGTCCCGCCCGGATCCCCCCATGGAGCCACGAGCAGCAGTAGGGGAGAGGAAGCAGGTGGAGACTACAGTCTTCTAGAGGGATGGGCTCCTCCTCTTCCTCCCTCGGCCTGTCCCCCTAGCCCTCACAAGATGTCAGGGTCCTGCATCCATGTCGCACCACTTAGAGGCCAGTTTGCTATTCAGTCTGGAGGACTTGAGACACCCTTAAGCGCCCATACGTTACCTTGCCTCTCCTCCTCCTCCTCCTCCTCCTCCTCCTCCTCCTCCTCCTCCTCCCTCGGTTCCATCCTCCTCCATCCTTCTCCCTCCTCTCCTCCTCCTGTCCGCCTTCCTCCTCCTCTTCCTCCCTCCTCCTCCTCCGCCTTCTCCTCTTCCTCCTCCTACTCCTCTTTCTCTTTTTCTTTCTCCTCCTCCTCCTCCGTGGAAATTAAATTACCCTTGTAGGGGCCTGTGAAGAGGGATCTTGGAGGGAGGGTGTATTTCAGCATTGATGATGAGTCTTGGGTTTACACTGGTCCTGCCCCTCCTCCTTCTTCTTGTCCTCCCTCCTCCTCCTCCTCCTCCTCCTCCTCCACAGTTGCACATATGAGTACTACTCTCCTCTCTCCCCTGATGACGTCCAGAAGATATCCAGCCCCCCTCCGCGTATGTTCTTTTACATAGGATTCCCAGGATTTTTTTCTTTTTTTAGGAATGTTGCTCCCGCTGAAGCGCTGGCCTCATTTTCGGGCCTCTGCTCGTTCCGAATCGTGCTCCTGCTGCAGCGCTGGCTTCATTTTCGCGCTTCCGCCCGTTCCGAATCGTGCTCCCGCTGCAGCGCTGGCTTCATTTCCGCGCTTCCGCTCGTCCCGAATCGTGCTCCCGCTGCAGCGCTGGCGTCATTACTTCCAGTGCCATGCCACGGCATGGTTTTCGGTCCTTCCAAACAGGCCCCGACATCTAGAAAGTGGCCTCCCGAAAAAACCACCGGAAGTGACTCCACATTCGGTGCCGATTTGTTTTTGATTTTCTTTGCCGCTGAAGCCCCTTCCTTGGGGCGTCGCCACGCCGTGCTATGTCATGCTGCGCTTGATCTTCAACATCATGCTAGGCCATGCAACGCTACAACATCCGATTGTGCGAATCGAGAGGAGATCTACGCCATGGTACGGGATGGGAGGGAGGGGTAGGACGTCAGTTATGACGCGAGCGTATCTAGCTCGCCCCTCCCCCCTCCCTCCCTGCCCTCTCCCTCTCGGCCTCTCTCTTTCCCCTCCCTCCCTGCCCTCTCCCTCTCCCCCTTCTTGGGTTTACAGTGGTCTTTCTCCTCCTCCTCCTCCTTCTCCTCCCTCCTCCTCCTCCTCCTCTTCCTCCTCCTCCTCCCTCCCTCCCTCTCTCCCTCCCTTCCCCCTCCCCCCTCCCTCCCTCCCCCCCTCCCTCCGCGGCAGGGGCGCGTGGCACCGCGCGGCGGTCCTCCCCGTCGCGGGGGGCCCCGGCGGGCCGCGGCGGCGCTCCCGCGGCGCTGGGGGCCCGGTCCTCGAGCGCGGCAGCCCTGCCAGACCTCCAAGGAGACGGGTTTTCGAAGAGCGCAGAACGAACGCGAGGGCGACGACGACGACGAGGACGGCGAGGGCGACGACGACGACGAGGAGGACGAGGGCGAGGACGCGGACGAGGACGAGGACGCCGACGACGAGGACGAGGACGATGACGAGGACGAGGACGACGACGGCGACGACGACGGCGACGACGACGACGACGGCGGCGACGACGACGAGGAGGAGCACGAGGACGAGGAAGACGATGACGACGACGACTACGACGGCGACGACGACGACGATTGCGACGACGATGGCGACGTCGGCGACGAGGACGACGACGATAGCGACGAGGACGAGGACGAGGACGAGGACGACGACGACGACGAGGACGAGGACGACGGCGACGACGACGACGAGGTCGACGACGAGCACGACGACGGCGACGACGACGGCGACGACGAGGACGAGGACGACGATGATGGCGACGACGACGACGACGATGTTGACGACGACGAGGAGGAGGACGACGACAATGACGATAACGACGAGGAGGACCAGGACGAGGACGAGGACGACGACGACGACGACGGTGACGACGACGACGACGGCGGCCACGACGAGGACGACGACAACGAGGAGGACGACGAGGACGAGGACGAGGACGAGGATGACGACAACGGCGAGGACGACGACGAGGACGACGACGAGGACGACGACGGCGACGACGACGGTGACGACGACGACGACGGTGACGACGACGAGGAGGAGGACGACGACGAGGACGAGGACGACGATGACGACGACGGCTACGACGGCGACGACGACGACGACGATGGTGACGACGGCGACGACGACGAGGACGACGACGACGGCTGCGACGACGACGACGACGGCGACGGCGACGACAACGGCGACGACGAGGACAAGGACGACGACGGCGGCGACGACGGCGACGACGGCCACGACGACAACGACGAGGAGGCGGACGACGACGAGGACGCCAACGACGAGGAGGACGAGGACGAGGACTAGGACGAGGACGACGAAGACGAAGACGGCGACGACGACGACGACGGTGGCGACGACGGTGACGACGACGAGGAGGAGGAGGAGGAGACGAGGACGACGACGAGGACGAGGACGAGGGCGAGGAGAAGGCGACGACGACGACGACGACGAGGACGACGACGACGACGACGACGGCGACGAGCACGAGGACGACGGTGACGATGACGAGGCCGACGAGGACGACGACGACGACGACGATGACGAGGACAAGAACGATGATGACAACGACGACGACGGTGGCGACGACGGTGACGACGACGAGGAGGAGGAGGAGACGAGGACGCCGACGAGGACGAGGACGAGGGCGAGGAGAAGGCGACGACGACGACGACGACGAGGACGACGACGACGACGACGGCGACGAGCACGAGGGCGACGGTGACGATGACGAGGCCGACGACGAGGACGACGAGGACGACGACGGTGACGACGACGGCGACGACGAGGACGACGACGACGAGGAGGAAGACGACGACGACGAGGAGCACGAGGACGGGGACGACGTCGACGACGACGACGAGGTCGATGACGACGGTGGCGACGACGGCGACGCCGAGGAGGAGGAGGAGGACGAGGACGAGGACGACGACGACGACGAGGACGAGGACGAGGACAACGACGACGGCGACGACGACAACGACGAGGATGACGGCGGCGACGACGACGGTGACGACGACGACGACGGCGACGACGACGAGGAGGAGGACGACAACGAGGACGACGATGACGATTACGATGGCGACGACGACGACGACGGCGACGATGGCGACGACGAGGAGGACGACGAGGAGGACGAGGACAAGGACGAGGACGACGACGACGACGACGTGGGGACGACGACGACGACGACGACGACGATGTCGACGACGAGGACGACGACGGCGACGACGACGGCGACGACGAGGACGACGACGACGACGGCGACCACGATGACAATGAGCAGGAGGACGACGTCGAGGACGACGACGACGATGAGGACGAGGATGAGGACAGGACGACGACGACGACGACGGTGACGACGACGACGACGTCGACGACGACGGCTGCGACGACGTTTACGACGACAACGAGGAGGACGACGACGACTAGGAGGACGATGACGAGGATGATGACGACGACGACGACGACGAGGACGACGACGAGGACAACGGCGACGACGAGGACGACGAGGATGACGACAAGGACGACGACGGCGACGACGACGGTGACGACGAGGACGACGACGACGACGACGACGGCGACGACGACGGCGACGAGCAGGAGGAGGACGACGACGAGGACGCCGACCAGGAGGACGAGGACGAGGACGAGGACGACAAGGACGACGGCGACGACGACGACGACGACGGCTGCGACGACGGCCACGACGACGACGAGGAGGATGAGGACGAGGACGAGGTCGACGACGACGATGGCGAGGATGAGGACGAGGACGACGACGGCAGCGACGACGACGAGGACGAGGACGACGACGACGACGACGGCGACGGCGACGACGACAGCGAGGACGACGACGAGGAGGAGGACGACGAGGAGGACGAGGGTTTCGACGACGTCGACAAGGACGAGGACGAGGACGACGACGATTGCGACGACGACAGCGATGAGGACGATGACGAGGACGATGACGACGCCGACGACGGCTGCGGCGACGACGACGACGACGAGGAGGAGGACGAGGACCTGGACGGCGACGACGACGCCGACGACGGCGACGACGAGGACGGCGACGACGACGGCGACGGAGACGACGACGAGGAGGACGAGGACGAGGACGATGACAACGACGACGACGAGGACGAGGACCAGGACGACGGCGGCGACGACGACGACGAGGACCACGACGAGGACGACGGCGACGGCGACGACGACGACGGCGACGACTAGAACGACGACGACGACGGCAACGACGGTGACGACGACGAGGAGGAGGACGAGGACGAGGACGACGACGACTAAGAGGACGAGGACGACGACGACGACGGCGACGACGACGACGACGACGGCTGCGACGACGTTTACGACGACGACGAGGAGGACGAAGACAAGGACGAGGACGACGACGGCAACGCTGGTGAGGACGAGGACGAGGACGACGACGACGGCGACGACTCGACGACGACGGCGACGGCGACGGCGGCGACGACGACGACGAGGAAGACGACGGCGAGGACGAGGATGATGACAGGAAGACGACGACGAGGAAGACGACGGCATCGACGACGAGGACGACGACGACGAGGACGAGGACGACGACGTCGATGATGACGACGGCGACGGCGACGACGACGGCGACGACGGCGACGGCGACGACGACGAGGACGAGGACGATGACGCGGACGAGAACGACGACGACGACGGCGACGGCGACGACGACGACGACGATGGCCTGGACGACGACGACGAGGATGAGGACGAGGACGAGGACGAGGACGACGACGGCAACGGCGACGACAACGACGACGAGGACGAGGACGAGGACGAGGACGATGAGTGTGACGACGGCGTCGACGACGACGACGACGGCGACGATGACGACGGCGACGACGACGACGACGGCGACGACGACGGCGACGACGACGACGATGGCTTGGACGACGACGACGACGATGACGAGGACGAGGACGAGGACGACGATGGCGACGACGGCGACGACGACGACGACGACGCCGACGGCGGCGACGACGGCGACGACGACGACAAGACCGAGGACGGCGACGACGACGACGATGGCCTGGACGACGACGACGACGACGAGAACGACGAGGACGAGGACGAGGACGAGGACGACGACGGCGACGACGACGACGACGGCGACGACGATGACGACGACGACGATGACTGCGACGACGAGGACGACGACGACGACAGCGACGACGACGACGACGATGGCCTGGACGACGACGACGGCGAGGACGAGTTCGACGACGACGATGGCGACGACGGCGAGGACGAGGACGAGGACGAGGACGACGACGGCAACGACGACGACGACGATGACGAGGTCGAGGGCGACGGTGGCGTCGACTTTGACGACGACGACGAGGACGGCGACGAGGACGACGAGGACGACGACGGCGACGAGGACGACTTTGACGACGACGAGGACGAGGACGACGACGGCAACGACGACGAGGAGGACGAAGACGACGAGGACGAGGACGACGACGACGACGACGACGGTGACGGTGACGACGACGGCGACGACGGCGACGACGGCGACGACGGCGACGACGACGACGACGAGGACGAGCACGAGGACGCGGACGAGAACGACGACGACGACGACTACGACAACGACGACGATGGCCTGGACGACGACGACGACAACGACGACGAGGACGAGGACGAGGACGAGACGACGACGGTGACGACGACGAGGACGACGACGAGGACGATGAGTGTGACCACGACGACGACGGCGACGACGACGACGACAGCGCCGACGACGACGACGACGACGACGATGGCCTGGACGACGACGACGGCGAGGAAGAGGACGACGACGACGACGAGCACGAGGGCGACGACGACGACGATGACGACGGTGGCGGCGACGGCGACGACGACGGCGACGACGACGACGACGGCGACGATGGCGACTCCGAGGACGAGGATGGGGACGAGGACGAGAACGACGACGACGACGGCGACGACGACGACGACGATGGCCTGGACGACGACGACGATGACGAGGACGAGGACGAGGACGAGGACGAGGACGAGGACGACGACGGCGACGACGACGACGACGACGGCGACGACGACGACGACGACGACGGCCACGGCGACGACGACGACGAGGATGACTGCGAGGACGAGGACGGGGACGACGATGATGACGACGGCGAGGACGAGGACGAGGACGACGACGGCAACGAGGACGAGGATGACGACGACGGCGACGAGGACGAGGACGACGACGACGACGACGACGGCGACGGCGACGGCGACGACGGCAACGACGGCGACGACGACGACGATGACGAGGTCGAGGACGAGGACGCGGACGAGAACGACGACGTCGACGACGACGATGGTCTGGACGACGACGACGATAACGACGACGAGGACGAGGGCGAGGACGAGGATGATGATGGCGACGACGAAGAGGACGAGGACGAGGATGACGATGGCAACGACGACGGGGACGACGACGACGACGACGACGAGGACGATGACGATGACGACGACGACGACGACGACGACGACGACGGCGACGGCGACGACGACGGCGACGACGGCGACGACGGCGACGATGACGACGACGACGACGATGGCCTGGACGACGACGACGATGACGAGGACGAGGACGAGGACGAGGACGACGACGACGATGGCCTGGACGACGACGACCACGACAACGACGACGAGGACGACGAGGACGACGAGGACGAGGACGACGACGGCGACGACGACGAGGACGAGGACGGTGACGACGACGACGGCGACGACGACGACGACAGCGACGACGACGAGGGCGACGACGATGACGGTGACGACGATGGCCACGGCGACGACGACGACGACGACGACGGCGAGGACGAGGACGAGGACGACGACGGCAGCGACGTCGAGGACGACGACGAGGACGAGGACGAGGACGACGACGACGACGAAGACGACGGCGACGGCGACGACGACGGCGACGACGGCGACGACGGCGACAACGACGACGAGGACGAGGACGAGGACGCGGACGAGAACGACGACGATTTCGACGGCGGCGACGACGACGACGACGACGACGACGATGGCCTGGACGACGACGACGACAACGACGACGAGGACGAGGACGAGGACGAGGACGACGATGGCGACGACGACGAGGACGAGGACGAGGACGAGGACGGTGATGACGACGACGACGGCGACGACGACGACGACGACGACAGCGACGACGACGACGGCGACGACGACGACGGCGACGGCTGCGACGGCGACGACGACGACGACGACGACGACGACGACGGCCCTCCCTCTGGTTCGGAACCCCACCACCCTTGGCCCCTCCCCCCCTTGGGCAGGAGGGGCCCCTTGCCGGGTTCGACGGGGCTCTGGGTTCGGGGAGGTTTTTTGCCCTTGTCGGCCCCCAGTGGCCGTTCCGGGGCCCCAGGACCGTGAATGAATGGATCCGGGGTGAAAGTCTGCAGCAGGTGAACCTGGGGAGGGGTCCCAGGACCGATTCTGAAGCGATTTGGTGCATTGAGCGCCCGGGCTGCGGGTGCCGAAAATCGCATTTGGGACAATGGGGTCGGCTTGGCTGCGCTGATGCGCACGCGTCGCCGCGCCGTTTGTCCCGACGCGCGGCCTAGCGTCTTGGGGAGGGCGCCTCTTTCACCAGGCCTCGGGCGCGGTGGGCTTGATGTGGGTTTGCCGCGGTGTCGGCGTCGTCTTCTGGGCGCGTCGAGAACAAACAGCGCGGCGACATATTCGTGCTGATTGGTCCTTTGCACACTGGGTCTTAACAAATGTGCGCAATAGCTCGTGCAATCGTTCGTGCTGGATTGTGCTTGATGCGGGCAGAATGCGTTGCGTTTGGCATCGTGGGTCCGTCGGAGAGGCCACGCGCCATGAGTCACAAGATGAACTATTGATTTGCGACCCCATCACGGGATGCCTCCTTTGCCTGGAAGCAAAGAGTTCGGACCCTGACTTAGCATCCGCCGTACTGTGAACGATTTCGTACGTAGGGCACAGCTGTTCGCCCTGCTTTTCAAGCTCCTTTGATGCCGATTTCCGCCCTACTTTATCGTCGCTACTTACGCCTTAATTTTTGGAACTAGTCGAACTTGCCAGATATCCGAGGATATGGACTGCCGAAGAGCACAACATAACAGAAGCATAAACGTTCGTAGATTAGCGCAGATATCTTGGATCGGCGCTTCGTCCCCCTGGCGGCGCCTGGCGCCGCCCCTGTGCGGTCCAGTGCCGGTTCAAGAAATCCGCGCGGATCTCCGAAAGATTTTGTTTTTGTAAAATTTGTTCCTCTAGATTTGGGGTTTTTTCCACGACGAAGAAAAGACGGCAGAAACGTAAACGTTCGGAACAGCATCGAAGAACATATCACGACGGGGGTAGCCTTTTCAGCATCTGCGAGTCCTCGCGGGGCCCCGGGACCGTCAAAACGACTCGGGATGAAAAGCTGGTCCCAGGGACAGAGTCCATAGCTCTGTGTGCCGACGTGGAAATATCCGCCTCAGAAGAAGCAGGGCAGATATTTCCGCAAATGTATGGCGGTAACAGCGACGGCAAAGTGGGGCAGACGTCGGCATCAGGGGGGCTTGAACAGTGGAGCGAACACCTCCGCCCTGCTCGCCAAGTCGTCCAAAGTATGGGGGATGCGAAGTCAGGGTCGAAAAAGACAAAGCGGCATGACTGTAAACGTTCGAAGGTTCGCGCGGATTTCTTGGGTCGGCGCTGGGCCCCTCTTTGCGGCGCCTCTGGCGCCGCCCCTGGCGTGCTCCGCGCTGGGCCCCACTCCCTAGCGCGCAGAGCGCGCCAGCGGCGGCGCCAGAGTAGCCGCAAATGGGGGCCCAGCGCCGATCCAAGCAATCCGAGCGGAGCTCCGAATGATATGCTTGTGGCGATTTTTAGACGTTGTCAGTCAAACGTTTTCGTCGGTTCTCGGCGGCTTCCCAGACATACGACGTCCTGATTTTTCAGTACGGGGTCCCTAGAAGTCCCGACCCTTCTTCCCCGGGACCCCTTCTTCGTCCCGAGTCGTTTTTTGACGGCCCCGAGGCCCGGCGAGGGCCCCTCCAGGCTGAGAACGTCCTGACTCTTTTGCGACGCGATCGTGTCTGGGCCTCCAGCCTCGGGGTGCTCCCCGGCGGCTGCGCCTCGCCGAGGCCGAGATCGCTCCGGAGGTGCCTGGAGCGTCCTGCACGGCCGCCGGAGGGCCGAGCCAGGGCCTCAGAGCCGGCGATGTGGTTCCAGGGCGCCCTCGGGGGCGCGAGGGTATTCGTGCTCCGCGCTTCGCGGCTCGGCTCCGATTCCAACGATAACGGCAACAGCGACAACAGCGATGGCAACGATGACAGCTATAACAACGATCACAACGATCAGAACGACCACAGCGATCACAACGATCACAGCGATGACGATCACAACGATCACAACGATCACAACGATCACAACGATCACAACGATCACAACGATCACAACGATCACAACGATCACAACGATCATAACAATGATCTTTGCCATCGTCCTCATCCTCCCCTGAGGTCCTAGCGTCTCAATGTTTTCGAGCCGGGCGGCTTCGCCTTTCTTCGGGCCCTGGGACCCTCCCAGATCGATCTGGCTCGAAAGATGTCGCAGGATGATGGGGTCTAGGGCTCCGGGCGTAATTTTTTACGACGTTGCAGTTTACTCGCTACGTCGGATCTCCGGGTCCTCTTCTCTCCGGGGGGGCGGCGCGAGAGCGCGCAGTTAGTCGCGCGTCGAGCAGCGCGAGAGCGCGAAGTTGTGCGCCCTCGTGGCTGTTTCAATCTGGCGGTTCTTCTTCAATTTCGGCCCTCGGGGGCCAGTTGCTGGGCCCCAGGGCCATCACAGACGCATTCGAGGGGCGAGGAACGGCCCTGGGGGAGTCGGTCGGCACCTCCCTGGTGCCACGGGCGCGGAAAAACACGTCGGCGGGTGTCAGGGCTGCTGGAGCTGGAGGCCGAGTGCTTGCCCAGCAGCCTATCTGCCGAGCCGGGCGGCAGCGATGCCGAGAGCTTCGCCGACGAGAACCTGTTCGCGAAGGCAGCCCAGCGGCGCCGCATCCGGCGCAGCGTCACCGCCAACCAAGGGCCGGGCCTTTCGCAGCACGCCCTGCCAGAGATGACGATGTCGAGAATCCTCTCGCGGCGTCGGCGAGCCTGCCTCTATCAAGTGGCTTTCGGCCCATCCCGTCATCTTGCCTTGGTTGTCGGTCAGAGCCTCGTGGATGCCTGTGGGGATCTCTCGGGAGGCCGGAAGGCCCCTTGGAGGCCTCTCGGGAGCCCCTCGGAAGCCGCTGGGCTGGGGACCCCTGGAAGAAGCTTCAGGACTTTGGGCTTTGGACCCGAAGGACCGTAGAACGCTGAGCTCGTGCCTCTGGGCACGGTGGCGGATGGTTCTGAGGACAGCTCGTGCAGCGGGACGGGCAGCAGTAACAGCCTAGGCGAGTGATGCCTGGTGGCAGAGGCGGCTCGAGCTCGTCGGGCCGAGGCGCCGCGTGCAAGATCTCCCTGCCGCCAGCCCAGAATTCGCGTCGGACTACAGGGGGTACACAGTAGGCACACAGCATATGACACTGGCCCGCCAACAGGTGGCCCACGAGAATTTTTGTCCCCCGACGGGCCCGCAGAGCCCTGCGGCACCCCACGAAGGTCAGGGGCGATGGGCGATGTGCCCCTAGACTTCTTGCAGCAAGATTTATTATCGTATGTGCCTGCTGGAGGGAGAGGGGGGGTACGACATCTTCTGAATTCAGCCATTTAGCGTTGATTAGCGCCGATGGACGTCGGTTCGCAAGAGCCAACCAGATGGTACCAGCACTGCACGTCGCTTGGGAGGGGGGAGACCGATGACACTGGATCGAGGGAGAGCAAACTGGTAGGATGCAACTCCTGAGAGGTTAAATTCTAAATCGGCGCTGGTATATGCCTGGTCGAGAACTGGCCTGATCCAGTTTAGTCCCGCTTAATCAGGCCTAATTTCGTTCCTTCTGGCGTAATCCCGTTTAATCCGGTTGAATCCCGCTTAATCTGGCTTGCTCCTGGGTTTAATCTGGCCTCATCTGGCTCAGTGGCCCGATAATTGATTATAGTAGCCCGTTATCGCTCTGACGTAGGCCTCCCAGGAGCTGCATCCTAAAAACTGCATCTGCATGAAAACTCTCGGAGCTCCACTGCCGCCCGAGCGTGGTGTCGCTCCCGTCTCCTGCTGCCCGGACGTGCGCGACGCTCTGGGCCCCTGCGCCGGAGTGGGACTAGCACTGCACGTCGCTTGGGAGGGGGGAGACCGATGACACTGGACCGAAGGAGAACAAACTGCATACATTAGATGGTAGATCACGGAATATTCCGCTCGTCTCGGATTGAATGTATCCCGGCGAATGGCGCCCAGTAGCGCCCAGTAGCGCTCAGTAGTGCCCAATAGCGCCCAATCGCGCAGAGTAGCGTCGAACAGCGTTCAAGTAGTGCCCAATTAGCGACCAGCATCAGCCGAGCGTCGCCATGTGAGGGAGATCCGCTTGATTTGGCGCGCCATTGGGCGCCATAGGGACGACCAAAAGCTTCCGTGAGTTGTTTTCTGACACAACCGTAAATTTTCAGAGCTCCGCGCGGACCTCCGAAAGCTTTTGTTCGTGCCGTTCGGACTTCGAATGGGAAGCAACAGCATGAATGTACAGTCAGTTCGTTGACATAAGGTCGAGTTCGAATTCGGAAGAGGCTCCGTGGTTCCTCAGGTTTGCATGCGCTCCGCGTTTTTTCTTGGTTGCGAGCCCCTTGGGCGTTCCTTAGGTTTTGGCACGCGCGGATTCGTTTTGTCGATCAGGGTGGCGGGTCGAAGGAACGGGGCCCCAAGGGGGGCTCGGTCGTTCGTTCGAATTTGACGGCTCGACTCGGAAGACAACGGTGCTTCCTCATTTCAGCGGCCCGCCTAGAAGTTTTCAGAGCTCCACGCGGAACTCCGAAAGTCCATGTCAGTGTGTGCACGGGAAGGTTGAGAGCGAAAAGACTTGATGTATCTTGTCAAAACCAAACCGCTCAAACTGGGCGAGCCCTGGGACTCCATAGCCTTCTTCGGTTCGAATGGCCCAGGTGCCTGTCGGACCTTGGGCGGTCCTCGCCCTGGGGCTTCTGCATCTGGCGTCCCTCCCGTACCAGGGCCCGTCCTAGCCATCGGCGCTCCCGCCCCGCGTGCTGGAGGCCGCGTGCCCGCCCGCGTGGCTGCCGCCCGGGGACCCAGGTGAGGGCTGCCCGCCCTGCCCAGAGGCGCGCCGTGCCCGTCGGCGCCCGCGGTGTGCCCGGCGGTGGACCTGGCTCCCGAGGCGACGGAGGAGGACCCCATGGGCGTCCTCCTGTCGGCGGTCCCCGGGCTGCTGGTGGCGCTGCTGCTGGAAGCTGGCCGCTGCGCGAGGCGCTGGTGCGGCTCGGCCCGACGAGCTGCGGAGACCACCGCGGTCGTGAGAGACGGCGTTGCTCCCGCGCGACGCGGGGCAGGAGTGGTGGAGGCGCTTGGTGCCAGGACATCGACTCGTCGTCCGCTACAGTGACGACGCGGTGGACCACGAGCGCGTCCTCCTCTACCCGAGCTTGCCACCAGGTGCGTGGGCCGCCCGGACCCCCGACGGCGACAAGTACGAGGAGGACTACTCTGGGGCCGACCCTGAGACGGGGCCAGAGGGCGCCGCGCTGATGCTTGCGGGCGGCGGTGCTCCTGACGGCTGGCCGCGCCTGATCTACCGCTTCCGCGCCCCGATGACGGTGGCGGAGCTGCGCTCGGCCATCGGGCGCGGCCGCGCGATGGTGGAGGCCCGCCGGCCAGGGATCGCTCCTGCGGAGCCGCTGGAGGTGGCGGGCCCGGGCGGCGAACCGGTGGACTGGGCCCTCTTCTTCGGCCGCGCTGCGCGGCCCGCGTCCCGCCCTCGAGGGAAGCAGCCGCCCGCGCCGCTGGCGGACGACCGCGCCTGGGTCGTGGCCGAACCCACCGTGAGCGCGGCCGTCGGCGCCGCGGTGGGTCGGGCGGACTCGCGCTTCATCCCTGGCACGGCGCTGGGGGGCCTGTTCGCTTTCGAGGAGGGTATGCATCGCGTGGAGGCGCCGCTGCTGGCGGAGGACCTGCCTGGCTACGCAGCGCGGCGGCGCGGCGAGATGGGGCTGAGCGACTTCCTTGGCCCGGGGGCGGCGGCCCCCGCGGATCTCTGCGAGCGTCCGGGCCAGCACTCGACGCCTGAGGAGGCCGCGACGGCTGGGGTGAGAGGCACGGCGACATCGCCTGCAGCGGACGGTCAGCCTCATGGCCGGGATCTCCGCATCCTGGAGGTGGACCTCGATCCGGAGGGCGAGAGGTTCAAGTCGTTCCGCGCTGCCTGCCGCGAATCCTCTCAGGAGGCGTTCCCGGACCAGCCGATAATTAGAAGGGCCTGCATCGGCCCTGGCAGTGTGCAAGAACATTGGGCGCTCCAGCGGGGGCCCGCGCTTGTGGCTTCGAGACTTCCTGAGGTCTCAGTGCCTGGGGGAGAACGACAGGGTGGCCCATGAGCTGCGGGTGCTCTGCGACATCCTCTACTGGGCCGCCGTGTATGACCAGGTGAACCTGGGCGGGCTGATATGTCTGGAGACGGCAGCTCCGCGTGTGGCAGGGTTGGTGGCGGTGTATTCGGATCCCGCCAAGCCCGTGTAGGGCTGCGCCCGCCATTATACGGGTGCCGCGTCGTCGGACGACGTCGCGGGCCAGGCGTTTCAGCAGTTTTCGACGAGGAGCAGCAGGAGGCCCAGTCGGTGCTAAGCTTTCGGCAAGGGGCCCCAGCGCGGCCTGCGCGAGGAGGAGGGCGCCGCGGTCGACGGCAAGTGCAGGCCAGGGCGGATGCCGCCAAGAGGATCGAAGGGGGCTGGGGGGGGGGGGGGCGATGCCCACCCGCAGGGGCCATGGCGGCCCACGCGGCCGGGGGGGGGCCCCGTCACCGGCCGTGCCGCAGGGGTAGAGCGGGGTCGGCTTGCCGCCCCGCGCAACGCCAGAGAGGTGTTCCCGCTGCCTCGCTGGCGCCTGCCGAGCCCACCTGAGGGCGATTCTATGTGGGGTCGAGCCCTCTGGCGACGCGAACGGCTGGCGCTGAAGATGGGCAACGAGGCGGTGGGCTCGCTGAACTGCCCGGTGGGCTATCGGCATGGGTCGACGTACTTCGATCCCGATCCGATGCAGCTCGAGGTTTTGGAGCTGATCTGCGAGTTGGCCTCGCGGCGGTACCCAGGTCCTGACGCTCTCAGTGAGCGCGCAGCCGTCCGCCGGCTGCTTCGAGGGCGCACCCCGTGCGATGGGGCGGGATGCCTCACCCGTGTCGCGTCCTTCAGAAAGGGCTTCGTCTCTTTGCCCGAGACAGTGGAGGGCTGCCCGCCGTTCGAGGACGCGCCCCCCCCCCCGAGGTCCAGCGCTTCCTGAAGGAGCACCCCGAGCGCATGCTGCGCGCTGGGGGCCCGACATCGACTGTGACGCCGCACTTCGACCCGGCGCGGAAGGGCAGCGCCGAGACCTATCGACGCCTCGTGGCGGACATGTGGCGCTGAGGATTGCTGAGGTGGACCCGCCGCCCTCGCTGCCAGGTGGGCCTCTTCTTCGTGGAGAAAGACAACGGCGCGAAACTGCGCTTCATTCTGGACGTTCGGCCCGCGAACGCGCTCTGCGAGCCGCCCCCGGGTGTTTCGTTTCCCAGCACGGAGGGCCTCAGCCGGGTGGAGTTCACGCTTCCTGAGGGCGTGGATCCTTGGGGCCCCGAGGCTCAGAGGCTGCTGCAGGGCTACATCCTCGATTTGGGGCTCGTGGATGTGAAGGACTGCTTCCGCAGGCTGCCGAGTGCTGTTGCCTCCCCAAGTTGCCCGCCTTCGTCTTGGGCGTTGAGGGCCAGGTCTGGGAGGGCCGCCCGTTGGAGCGACGTGATCTGGTTAGCCCGTGCTGGGGTGTCTTCCTGATGGGCTTCACTTGGAGATTGCGGGCCGCCCAGCGGGTCAATGAGTGCAAGGCGCAGGAGATTTGGCCGCAGCTGCCCGAGAGCTCCC